ATGGGTCAAATACCGACCCGCATAGTAACTTTGCACACAACCACACTTGCTGAAGGCACAAATGGATTTGATATCGCAATTTTTGTAGAAAGCTAATATATCGATTACGTAGTTAGGGCTTCTTGTAGGTATGTGCTACTAGGGAAATTTTTTTATTTTTACAAAAACTACTAAAAAGTCCAAGTAAAATTCGAAAATATTCTTGATCACATTTATTTCCTCGCTTGTGCGTGGGGATTTTTTTGATAACTTCCTAAAGTGATCAGAAGCTTGAAAAATCGTGCGATTCAAAGTTTTGATATGTTGGATGTTTCGATCCCTAGACAAAGGCTTTTCTACGCCCTAAAATCAGAAAGATCTAAAGCATACAATAACAGAATTTGAAAACTCGTTTTTGTTGTTCCGTCGCTACTGCAGATATTTTTAAAAAAGTAGTGACGTAACCTACTATAACAAACACTACAGCATACACTGTTCGCCAAATTTCATTAAAATCAAAGCAACCGTTTCTGAGATCACAAGCCTAGTTGGAAAAATGCTAAATGAAAACAGATCAACGGAAATAAGTGAGATGTGTTTTCGTTATATAGACATCACAAAACGTAAAAAAAGTGTCACCTAAAAATAAAAAACTATGTCAATTACAATACTTTCCTTACATTTACATACGCATGATAAAATTTCTTGTCCACCCCTGTTAGTAAGTTTTACCTGGAATCTTCAAATTCTGGAAAAACCAGATTTTTCATTGGCCAGGTTGAATTGTGCAATTGTTCTTAACGGTTTCGTCGCGGTTTTGAGCGATTGTATGGTCTTTTTTCCGAGTTTTGATTTTTTAATGATTTTGTCGAGAAATCGGTCGTTATCCGGGAGTGTTTTCTCGCTTTCGAAACGGGCGAAGTTGTGAAGTTGTAGCAGCGCAAAATAAGGTTATGTGGTAAGCTCAAATAATTATGTTTTTATTACTTTCTGTTGATACTGGACATTTTTGCTTTGGTAAGCAAAACAAAAATGTAAAACAGTTATCAAATATAATTGAGGAAAAGAAACATTCTATGTGTAAATAAGCAAATGATAGTGAATCTGAAACGATCATACAAAAATTTGTTTAAAAGCAGCATATATTCGGAGAATCGTTACAATTTCTGAGTATTTCCATCAAGTAGAGTGAAAATATAGTGAACCAACATTTTTAGAGAGCTAGCAGGGCGCATCAGGTAGCGATACGGGAGTAGCTATACTCACCTTAGGCAAGCTCTTTAAATTTTGCACATTAATTTTTGGGATCTTACAAGAGTTTGCTGCCTCTCTACACCCTGTATGAAGTCATGTCTGTCTGTTTGCATTTTTCTATCCTCGCGAAAGCTTAAAAACGGCTTCACAGTTATGCTGAGCGGCGACAGTCGATAATGCTAATTTTTTTCAGCGGCAAAAAATGAAAAAAAATCAACATTTTGGGAACGAAAAATCTAACATTGTTCCCAAGCCTTTTGCTCTGGAGTGCTCCAGAATTTTTTGAAGTAATTTAGACATAGTCAAAAGGGATCAACATTTTGATGAGTTCAAAAAAGGCATAAACGCTATTGAGTATTTGCAGTCGCAACCAAAACCCGAATATTGGGTAAACCGGATGTGCAGATAATGAACCTTCAGATAATTTTTTGCTGAGAGAGGTCCAAAATGTCGCACGCCCAAACAGCATTTTCTAGAACCCCTCCTCCTGGCACTTGTATGATTTTCTCACGAAGAATCTGGCAACGTATAACATCAGGCAGTCTGTGACGCAGATACGTATACGCGTATGTTGAAAATATGGTATCATTCTGAGTTTTAAGGAAAGGTATGGGGAAATGGATCATATGTGACATATGTGTATGAGGGATTTCTTTTAAGTTTTGCATATGGAAATAAAACAACACGGTAGGTAGTTTTAAATGACTTTATTGTTTTTCTCTACGAATATTAATACATATCTGCATGCGCTCGAACCAATTTTCGAAGCACTTATTCCACTCGTTTGCTGGCAGATCCAAAACGGCATTTTTGAATGCCAGCATGACTTTTGTTGGCTTTTGTTCACCTTGGCAAACAACAACAGCCGACTGTCGTTTATTTTCTGGTTCATAACAGTAAATCCACGATTCCGGATTCATCACTACTAACAATGCTGTACATATTTTTTGAGTTTCCGGAATTGAAACGGTCAAGAGTTTTTGACACCAATTAACCCTGGCTGCTTTCTGCTCTTCAGTCAACAGGTGGGGTATCCAATCCTAATTCTTCATGTAATTTTTTTTGAATTGAGGTCTTTGAGATTTTCAAGGACGCCTCAATCTCGCGATATGTCACATGTATATTTTCAATGAAGAGTTTGCGCACAGCATCGACGTTTTCCTGGGTGACTGCCGTTTTTGGTGCACCCACCCTGCGATTGTCGCTAAGACTCACCCGTCCACGTTTGAATTCTCCATACCAACGGGAAAATGTCGACTGATGTGGCGCTTCGTTGCCGTAAACACACAGTAACTCAGCAAGGCATTTCCTGTTACGATAATTGTCTCTGAAAGTGGTAATAAATTATGGCGCGAAAATGTTCTCGGTTGATTTCCATTTTTCTACTCGTTTTTCTAATGACTTGGTGACACTCAAAAAATCACTGTCGTGAGAACACTGCACGTATTGTTGGGAAACTTTGAATTTAAGTTTACTAAAGAGTGAGGTTAAGATTCAGTACTGACGTTCGATCCGCGCGGCCTACTATGTTTCTATATGCAAAACTTAAAAGACATCCCTCTAGGATCATTGAATTATGGAAGTTGAAAACGTATACATATAAACCACAATTTTAAAAATAAATTGTCCGATAGAAGCTTCTGAAGCGTGAAGTTTTAACGATTTTTTATTTTTTCGCATTGTGCCTATAGCTTTGACGCTACTGGACCGAATTCAAAAACTATAAAGCTTTCTCGCCTTTGGTGTACCTAGTAGTAAATTTGTGTAAGAAGTTCATCAAAATCGTACCGGCACGGGTATTATGTAAAAAACCTATAAAACGTCAAAATAAACCTATAAAATGTCATCTTGCAAACAATCATTCCACGTTTGCTTACTAGGATCGTTGTGAGCATCGATCTATGGATGAATGACTCAACTACACGCATTGTTGGTTGCATATGTTTTGTGAAGCAGAGTAGTCTGTAGTTTTTATCTCTGAGAAGAAAGTTGGTTGAATAGCAAGACCGCATCTGGAGGATTGTGTGTATTGGTCTGCATGTGTTTAAAATCAGTGATATTTGTGGTGTGAGAAAATCATTACTGAATATGCTGCTAATGAAGTATAACTATTAGCTGTGCCCGACGGGTTATTTATATGTTGTCCTTTATGAAGACAGGTTATGTTCAAAGTTATAAGTTACGATTTCTTACGTTTATTTTTTTTGCATATGTAATTTCCAGAATGGATAAGAAAAAGTGGATGCGCAACTAATTTCTAGCGAATCTCAATTATTCGAGAGATGAATCCAATGGTGTTATCAATAACACATATTAGCACACAAATCCTCACCTACGCATTGCCGTTACCTCTATTATGCCATCTCTGAAGCAGATTTCACATCACATCAGAGCAAAACATTGATAACTGAAGCCTCATGACGTTAAGGCAATACGTACCTACAACTACAAAACGAACTCATAACGTGTCCATCAGCTAGTGCTATGTTAAAATCTTGTAGACAAACCTACATAATGTCACCAAAAACCAATATAATGTCAAAAAAAATCGACCAGTAATATCACTTTTCAAGATACGTAATACCCGTGCGGTACTTTCCATGTTTTAGACGGGACAAGGAATAGGGGACAGATTGACCGACAAATGTTTTTTCGTGATGTGCACGATATATGTATTATAACATCCAAAAACACAATACATATATCAAAATGTTCGCGAATACAATACTTTCTCGCCAGTAGGCGTGAGAAGTAAAAGGAATAGTGTTGAGAATAAATTTTAAAAACTGTGTCGAAACTACAATCTCAGGGGTGTGTCGATAAAGACTCTAATGTTTTTGCTGAGATCAAAGAGCTCTAAAAGTCAAAAGTTGCTACTCCTAATAGGACTTCGAGACATTTTAGGATTCGATTATATCGCGAAAAACGAAAATCCAAATATTTTGTTAGCTTTACAACTTTACGGTCTGCAACAGGGATTATCAAATTATATGTATTGAAATTTGAAAATAGACTTTTGTAAATGCATGATCTATACTTGATTATGGGCGGATTGACACTGAAGATACTTTTTGCCGTCAGTAGTTAAATATATTAAAAACACTTTGCATATTTATCCCTCTTATCTTAGACAACGCTCTTTTACATACCGTGCAGTGATATCAACTAATTCCTCTGACGAAAACTTTATTAGTATTTAGAAAAAAAAAGATATAAGAATTATATCAATTATATGTTCGTTTTATGTCTCTTCCCGATATGTCGGAATGGTACCAAGGCCGTCTAGGCCCTCTGCTTTTGGGTAACATTTTGTCTATTATCTAATCAATATTCTTTAAGCTAGGTAAGGCTAAAGTAGTAATAAGCTTTATGATATGGTTAAGCATGAGTGGTCATTGGCCAGACTTTGCCGTTCGTAACTGTATTTGTACAGTGGTTGATTTTGGCAATAGATGGCACTTTGTGCTGAATTATTTTGTTAGACCTTTTACTTTGGATACAGGATAGTTGATCAGATTTCGTTACTTTTGCTGAGACCAAGCCTATATCATACTGAGCAGTTACTAAATCGCACCAAACAGCTGTCCATGGGTGGCCGTCTGACGAACGAAAGGTATATTACTACTTTGAAGATGTAAGAATACAATGAAATTTATATTAAAAATATTCTTTATTGTATAAACTAAAAAATTTACACTGTACATACAGCTTTAATACGTCATCGCTTTTGCATTTTTTGAAATACGTATTTATATCTCGCTACTAGGATAAAAATTCATATTTACATTATATAGTACGTTCCTTCATGAAACGAATTAAGTTTATTCGTAAATATTCTATTATAATGCATTATTTTTGACACGGAAAACATTCCGAAATTAATTGTTATTGACATAATTTTATCGAAAACCATTAACAATTTTTTTAATCGACTTACATCATTTTGGATCAACCTTTTTTCATTTCTACTTCCAGACCTGAACTGTGAACTTCATTTCAGACATACCTATTTTGTTGTCAATTCCGTCTGAAATGTGACAATAATATTGCATGCAAAAATAATACAATTATTACAATTTTCCTGATTCAGTTCGCATAACTATACCTAAAATATTTATCTAATACACTTTTGTGACCTCTGTAAAAACTAGTCTTGACTGAAGGACACAGTAATAAATATCCACCTCAACGCGCATTTGTGGGCTGTAGTAAATACCATAAATCCTTATTTTACTCACGGTGATTGTTGAAAATTCTGTGACGCTAATCAATTTCAATTTTCAATTTGCTCTATTCGAACATACAAGCAGAATTTAAATGCCTATTATATTCTTATCAACATCAACCTTCAAATCGTTATGTACATGAAAATGGCAATATCTCATCACTATCCAGTCTTGTCTGAGTCCGATGCTTCTACCGTCCCCACTTTGTCAGTTGCTTCTACTTCTGAGTCATCTTGCACTGATATCTGAAAAATAAACGAATAATTACACAGGGTGTTCTTAAATCATCGAACAAGGACTCTAAGCAGATTTTCTAGACAATTGGACGATTTCCAAAGAAGCGCTTTGTTTCAAAAAACGAATAATCAACATTTTTGAAAATCATGTCTTTCATTACCAAAAAACAGATTGTTTCTTATTACTAACGGAACATCATCAAGCAGCAAAGGCAACTGTTGTTGAAAAAAATTGAAGTACGTCCGTCCTTCAAGTCGCCCGGCAAGAGGAATGGGCGAATAAAGTGGTTGCCAATAATTCCTGCTCATACGTTAACCGCACAAATGATTATTGTGTAAATTCTGAATGGCATTTCGAGAAAAACTAGCTTCGTCCGTGAACAGAATCATTGATTCAAATAGCGGATTTTGTGTAATTTTTGCAGATACCACTGACAAAAGGTCACACGCCTTAGAAAATCAATGGGAAGTAGTGCCTGTGCTCTTAAAATATGGTAAGGATATAACAAATAATAGACTAAAATTCTCCAAACAATTTGATGGCAAATATACTAAGTGACATATAAATCCGAACACCCAGTTTAAATGGTTTTATTTTGATAAAATTTTGTATAAGTACCTAATGAAGCAAAATTTCAAAATGATTGCACTGCTTTAAAGCTCTTTGACCTTTAATAATGTGTGGATGCACCCTGATGTGCTACGCATTCTCCAACGCGCCTAGGCATGCTTCTGATCAGGTGGTCAATGTCCTCCTGTGGTATCTCATTCCAGGCAACCACCAACTCCTCTCGAAGTGCTTCTGAGTCTGAGGAGGACGTTGCAAATTGAGCAATCTCCTACCCATCATATCCCACACGTGCTCAATTGGGGATAAGTCGGGAGATCTTGGTGGCCATGGTAACAATGTGATATCATTATGTTGAAAGAAGTCTATTGTGACTCTTGCAACATGTGGTCGAGCATTATCTTGTTGGAAAGTTGGATCTGCCAGGGTGTCAAGAAAGGGTAAAAGATGGGGTTCTAGAACTTTGTGGATATAACGCTGCGCGTTCATGTTACCTCTGGTGAAGATTAAAGGTGACCTGGAACCATAAGCTATAGCACCCCAAACCATAACTCCAACAGTGTGATGAACATGTCTTTCAACAAAAAACTGTGGATTCCTCCTTTCACCACGTCGCCTTCTAACCCTGGCACGACCATCGTGCATGCCTAAACAAAATCGAGACTCGTCACTAAAGACCATTCCTGATCCCAGAGTGACCGTTGTCTGCACCACTCAAGGCGATTACGTCGGTGTTCTCGAGTTAAAGGGAGGACCCAGTGTGGCCGGTATGAAAACAAGCCAAAACTTCCCATTCGTCGGTAAACACTTCGCATGCCAATAGGTCCTCCGTGTTCTGTAAACCATTCATTTGCAATGGACCTGGTAGTGGAGAAACGGTCCCTTAAGGCCAATAATCTTAGGCGGCGATCTTCACGGTCTGTTGTTCTACGGCGGCGTCCAGTGCCCCTTGCTCTTTGCGTACGGCCTTCTCGAAGCCATGCCTGACAACACCTAGCCACAGTGTCTACACTTCTTTGCACTCTAACTGCAATTGCCCGAAAAGAAAGTCCAGCTTCCCGAAGTCCCACTATACGGCCCCTATCAAACTCACTAAGTTGACGAAATCGTACAGGTCTCCGTACTCTAGGCATCGTAACCGATCTTAAAGGATGTCAAGAACCAAAATCCGCCAACGTTGATTCTTTACTGCGGCTGAAATATTCATTTTTAGAGCGTTAGTGAATTAAAAAAAAAGCAGTATAAAAACCGGAATGTCCAACTGATAAGGCTGAACATTTTTTCACTTGTTATTTACAATAAGATAAACACATTCACCAACTTTTATTAAAATAAAACCATTTAAACTGGGTGTTCGGATTTATATGTCACTTAGTATATTTAAGTGTCTAGCGATCTTCCTCGTACTCGTTTCAGGATGTTCTTCGACTTCGTGCAGCACTGCTTCCTCAATTTCAGGCGTTCTCACACTTAGAGGTCTATCTTCAGACAGAACCAGTTTCAACAAGACGACGATGAATATTAGAAAACCACTATCTGGCAAAGCACGATTGGGATATCTCTGGTGATAAATCCGTCTGGCTTGCTCACCATTACCGTCGGCAAGGCCATATACGTAATGCATTTCCGCCATTTCTGCATTTGAATAATTCACCATTATTAACAGTTTAAACTAAATAATGAAAAAGATGTCACAGTGAACAGATTTGAATAACAGAGACTTGTCAGATGTCAAAAGCCAGTGACATATTCCAGAGCAACTAGATATTTATTGCTAAATTGCATTCTTCAATTATGACATTAATTTTCTGGGACAATAGAATGCTTTTTATCTTTTTACTCAAAAATGGCGCATCGAAGGAAAACAATTCAGGAGAAATAATTTGTTTTAAACTGAACGGGGAATTCAAAAATAATTTTTATTTGCAAAAAACCATTAGCGTACCATTTCTTTCGTAAAAAATATCGAAGTCAATACCCGCACGCACGCCACTGTTATAGCTAAAAATTATTTTTGCATTGACAAATATGCAACTTTATTAACTTTCACTACATACTAAATATCAGTGGAATATCTGAAGCGCTTCTGAAAATATTAAATTAATTTCCTTGTTTTTCCTAAAACTTCAACACCCCGAGTTTTTGTAAGGAAACATTTTTGGACCATAGTTTCTAAAAGAAACCAACATTAGTTCTTCATGTAGATTCACACCCTTATTCGCATATCATTAAGGAACACCCTGTATAATTAAAATTTTATATTGTCACCCTCAAAATGACTTCTGAAGCCACACAGCGCTGGAGACGGTTCTTCCACTCCTCATAGCAGTGCTGGAACTCCGATACTAGAACACTCTTCAGCTGGTCGGTTACAGCCGTTTTCGACTGTCCCAAAATCCCTTGGAGTGATTTTTCAAGTTCGGGAAGAGAAAAAAGTCACAAGGACTCAAGTCAGGTGAATAAGGAGGTTGCGCAGCCACATGAATGTGTTCACTGGCCATCAGAAACTCGTTTGTTGACATTGATGTGTGTCAAGGAGCATTATCTGATGAACGGTGGTGTTAGTCAAATTTAGCTCTTCTCCCATCATTCTGACTGTCAGCCGACGATCTAAACGTACAAAATTCCGCATTCTGTCGATACTTCCATCGGTTCATGAAGTTAAAGGCCTTCCTCTTCGTGGTTCATCTTCCATCGTCTCCCTTCTAAGAATGCCTTAAACCACCGAAAAACCTAGGCTATTGACAAAGCACTATTTCCGTAGGCCTGTTTTTTCAAGAGTTTCCGTTGCACTGTGCCCAAAACTGAAGCAAAACCTGATAGCACACCGTTGCTTGAAATTGATGTCACTCAATTTTAGATACAGAAATAATTATTTCACAAAAAAAATCGGCGCGGCCAACCAAATAGCTCGAGCGAGCTCAAACTTGTACTAAAGGCGGATCACATGTTCCCCTGTCTCCCCCCATACCCGGCGCCTCCAGTGTCACCAAATCAAACGCTACGTGGCCAGTCTCATGACTTAATTTACAGATCTCGTATACTTTAGAAAAAGAGAAGAAATAGCATGGTTCAAAACGGGAAACACCAAATACGCAATTAGCGCAATCTGAAATTAAGTGGCCACCATATGATAGGGTAGAGAAACCTTAGTATCAGATGCGTCTTTTTGACTAAAAGTGAAACATGTTACTATTCAAAGAATGGAACCTTGTAGGACTTCCAGAGATCACGAGCTGAAAATCAACCTGAGAGATGTAATCAACCACAAGACCATAACACGGCTGCAACTATTATATCTTAAAAAAAGCGTCATGAGCTTTAAAAAAGTCAAGTAAAACAAGAACAGTAGCAATTCCGGAGTTGGAATGTTCATATTGCATATATGTACTTAATAAAGTTAGATATATCTCGTATAAAATTAAATTCATCAAAAACATTTCAAAAGAAAATTATCTCTATACCTTGATCAAACCCCATTTAACCTACGGTACATTGACAGGAGAGCTACATGCTCAACTCATATTTCTGATTTGGACGTTTTGCAAAAAATGATTTCAAGAACAATGCCTAGAACCAAAATTATATCCAACTGTTACAAAGATGTATAGGTACGTATAAGTGTATGACCTAAAACAGCTTAGCTATATGCAAAAATCACAAATTTATTAAGAACTACCGAAAAGGCATAAACTAAGAGCAACAGGCCGATGTGTAAGTTTGTAAATAATCTTTTTTTTTACAAAAATACAGGATAATACTATTTTCATTCACGTTCATATTGAGCCTCAGCAACTTGTAAAACATTGCAAAATTGATCATAGGTCATACCAACTGTTCAATAAATACGCTTCATTATTCATAGAAATATTTGAAACATTACTCGTATTTATTTAGTGATAGTGCTCGCAAAGAAAGCCGTTACGGACCCATGTTCATATGAACATTTAGTCTTCAAATTGACCAAGGATTCAATGGTTAAAGTATGTCTACATACTTTATTAACACCCTGTATAACACAGCGATCATACCTTCATTTAGGACCAAAATTATACATCAATTTACCTGAGGATATAAAGAGAATGGATTTTTTCTCTGTCAAGACTAGACGTATACAAATTAATAGCAAATGTAAGCATCAAATAATTCAATAATTCCTTGATTAGTTGTATGCTTTATTCATTTCAGTGCCTCTTATGGATCCTTGCTTTATATTATGTTGCTTTAGGAGTAAATAAATATTATTATTATTATTATTATTATTATTATTTTGATATTATAGAGACCTGATAAAGCAGTCGAGAATGTTTAAAAGCTGGTATAATATATTATTTGCGTTTATGGTTGTATTTTATGAAAAAATCCTTAAATATGCTTAAATCATATGAGAAGTACCAGGTTTAACATGAATCGGAAAATCGACCGATTCGCAATTTGCTCATAGTTCATTTGAGAAAACCAAATCAAAAATAAAATATGACAAAATGATTGACGTAAATTCTAAATACTGAAACATACCCTCCTTTCCAAAATGTTGGTCCCAGTTTCGCTCCAGTCTTGTTGCGGGAAGGGCACCTTGGTCTCTATCATGCTAGACGCAGCTATTTGACCTCCTTCAGGTGGCGCAGAATTGGCTTCAGCTGCTTCCACGAAAGCGGACGATAGTTCTCCGCTAAGCTTGCTCACTGTCTGGGTGGTTACGTCGTACATGAAGATCTCTTTTTCGGTTGCTGCTGGGTCTGTTGGGCTGGAAACATAAGTTTTTTTTATTATCTATGTAAATCAGCGATTATTCAAGTATTGATACTAACATAGTAGGTGGTTTGCTTGTTTGATGATAAGAAAAAAATTTAAAGATATTTCAGAGTAAAATACTAGTATTTGACAACAATCTCTTCGATGTTACACTTCTCATATGAGATGGACAAAAATCTGTTTGATAATTATACCGGGTGGTTCAAATGGATATTTTGTTAATTTTGTAAGAAAATTCAGATGAAGATTAAGGATAATCGTGTGCATGTCCGCAATAAAGGGGCAACAGCAGAAATAGAAGGATTGGTAACCCGAGCGACGTACGTTTCTGCTTATTGGCTTCATCAGGCCCAAATAAATGTTCATCGAAAACACCGAAGTGAAAACGTATACCTATCACATCTGAATATGAGCGGCATTTGATTTTGTCAGCCATATCTACAAAGAGGTAGACCACGGCATATATGTAGCAGGTATGTTATATTTGTTGATCTACCAAAAGCCGATATTATGAGTATCAACATACTAGAGCATGTAAAGCATGGGCATCAGGTGGCTCTTGTATTTTTTGTCTGAGAGGCACTTACAAGTTAAGGTGCACGGTAAAATTTCGGAACAGTATAACATAACGTCGGTCTCCGCACGTACCGGCGTAACTAACATTTTACAAATTTTACAGGAGAGCTAGAAAACGAAAATCAGCAATAAATGAGGTTGAAAATTACATACTGATTTTTTAGTCTGAACGTTGCGGGTTTTTTTTTGTTAGACTAAAATGATATAGAACCAGAGAACGCAGAGGCGTAAATCTATTTAAGCCGGTACGTGAAAATTGTTTTCGGAATTTTATGCAATTTTCTGAAAATTTTAATTCTTAGCAGCGAACTGATATACAGCTACGTCACTTCGTGAAGTAAGAGACTACAAAAAGATCTGTGAAATTACGGCGTAACTCGATTTTAGATTATTTGTCATTTACGCCTGTACGTGCGGAGACCGACGATAAATATTGCTCAAGTATTTTGGTACCTTTGTTATTTATTTTATTTCTCATTGGTTTGAGCCTACCTGGCTTCGTAGCTACGCTGATGATACCTCAGTTGCAGTAACTGGTACTATATCTAGATGACTTGTTCGTAACATCACCCTAGTGTAAAGTGAAATGCAGCATTGGTGCCAACAGAATTGCTTGATTTTAAATACGGACAATACTATTATCGTTCGGCTTTAATACTTGTAGGTCACAGCTTCACGACGTTGACACTGAATCGGGAGCTTTTTTGGGGACAATTATGGATTCCGAGTTTACTGGGGAAATGCCCAATGACTCAATTTGTAAAACTCTCAACAAGTCATATTTTGCAATCTTAAAATTGAAGCGCGCTGTACCACAGACAAGTACTGTGCGATGGAATACTATTGTCTGTCAAGAGCCATAATAGTTTGCGGACAAGCCCGTATTGTGAACAGGGCACTCATAGTTCAAAAAAGAATTGTGAGTTTAATTTTTAACATACCTGAATCTTGTAGGTCTATATTCAAGAGTAATCATTTGTGCTCTAAATACATTCCATAACAAATACAGGTTTGTTAAAAATAAAGATATAAATGTTACAACACAATAGCTGGCATGGATTTGAGCATACCATTACATGTATCAACAATGTTGGGAAAATATCCCTGCATAAAAGTCTCTGTACTCAACAACAGACTTTTTATAAGTTATTATTTCATATTATATATTATTATAAATAATATATAATATATTTCAACGTATCTACTGTTTGAATGTGTTATTGGTACTGTTTTTATTTAACTAATATCTGTACCCTTATGACTAATGTAATAAGCATCTACTGTGTAGTGTGTAATACACTTTTGATATTTATGTAATTCTTGACTTTCATAAACACACTTTGCCAATAAACTACTTACTACTACTATTACTGCCACTACTACTACTACCACGTTTGTGATTTCGATGACTTCCAGTTTTATTTATCTTTCCATCCTTGTTTCTCTTTAGGTTACATCCATATCCAGATGTGATGGGCAGATGTTTTCACTTTGGCGTTTTCGATGCACATCCTTTTGGGCCTGAAGAAGCCAATAAGCAGACACGTACGTCGCTCGGGTTATCGATCCTTCTATTTCTGATTCTGTTCCTTTATTGTGGACATTCTCATGATTGTCGTTTGTGAATTTTGTACAAGAACAATAGAAAACGGTACCATACGTAAGTCATTTCGAGCAACAACTTTTAAATTATTATACATGACACTTGTTATTTTATTATTAACGGAAGATCCACACACGGTACATATCAGAGATACAAAAAGTTCAAGAGTTATAGTAGTGGTAGTAGTAGAAAGTACGGTTGCACCTACAACCACTCCTTAAAACTGTTACATTTTTACTCTCTAATTCTAACGGTGATCGTATAAAGATTATAGATATAAATTAAACAAATGATATAACAAACCAAATATACTATAGAGCGGCTATCGCCTACAATCGTGATCGTATGGAAGCACAAACTTATTAACATTATCATTAATCTAACACCATTGGATTTACTTTCATACGTTTTTTCCGACACGTGTAAATTATGGGTTAGGCTTTAGCGACCTACTGTTCACTTTCATTGTAGCTTCCTTTTCAATGTGATTCATATCGTTAAGCCAAGCGTTAATGGAAAACAACGGAAATTATCCAGTTCAATGGATAAACACAATACAGCTTGACAATCGCTTCTGATACTACGAATTACGTTATTCCATGACTTTATTATATTATTCATGGAATGCTTTTTAAAATTTAGGTATTAAGAGGCTAAGTGTCAACATTCAAAGAAGTGTTACTGCTTCAGGTTGGATCTTATCTGGGTGATTCAGAAAGTATTGTAAATTTTTACGCCTAAATAAAAATAAAACATGAATATTATGTCTTATGTCTAAAAAACGTTCTGCTACCGAAATAAGACAGTACAAAGTACCATCTATTACCAGAATCGACGACTGCAAGAGTGAAACAGCAAGCTGTCTGTTGGAACTGTTGAGGCCAGGAAATAGGTAATTTCTTCCTACAATTTTGGCAACAGCAAAAAATTTGGTGGTATCGCTGCTCCCTAATGAGTAGTTCAAATTTTCGTCATGAAACGGCTAGAAGATTTCCGCCATTTTGATAAACATTTTTGATCGAAACTGTCGAAGACCATCAATCCCATGTAAAAAAGTCATAAAAACAGTCTTTTACTTAAAAAAATTGGGCAAATAGTCAACATTTGAAGAAATTTAAGGGTAAAGGTACATGTGATTATATTCTTGCTTATACTAGCTAAACTAACCACCGAAACGTAGAGAGAATGAAATTTTTTACAAAAAGTTCCTTTACTCTTTTTCGACTCCTTGATAATTCTTCAAGTTTAAAAAGTGAAAGATTAAAATTCGTATGAAAACAGTCGTTCTCGTATGTAGAAGCTCAAAATTAAGTTGATCAACAAAGTTCGGCTATACTAGTGTTAGAATCAAAATAATGAAATTACGGACGTTAATTTTTGACAGACAAATTTAGTAAATACAACCCCGACCGCCCACGGTCGGCACGCCGGTGGTCGATCGAAGCCAGTCTGTGCGTACCGCTCGAATAGTACGGAGCCTGTCGTGGTCTGTGTTTTGCTAGTTGTCTTATCTTATCACCAAAATTCTATCATCGGAAGTGGAATTGAATCTGCGTCCACGCTGTAAGTCCTATTGCAATGTTTATGTATATTGAATGCAGCAGGATATCTGTTATTGTGGCAGTTATTTTTTCTATGCCATTGTTTTGTTTTTTGCTGTTATTATTTTTGTTACTCGCCGTATTGGTTGTACATACATACCAGATATAATCAGAGACGAACTGATTACACATTTCATAGCGTCTGTCGGTTCGGTGATGTAAATAAAGCATATATGGAATTGTTTTGGGCACGTCTTGCTGTGAGAATCTTGTTTTTTTTTTAACTGTTGACATTAGTAATGCATGGTTGATTAAGGATTATTGATATAAAATACATTTAAGTAAAAAAAAAAAAAAAAAAAAAAAAAAAAAAAAAAAAAAAAAAAAAAAAAAAGAACAATACCATTGCATGAGATTGTTTTAACCACACTTGAATCACAATTCATTTATAATTGGCAATTAAAAGGAAGCAGCAGTGGAGTATATTGTAGGTACAATAATTGAATCGGAAGATTATGTTATTCATTTAGATTTTCTACACGTGCAACAAGCGCATATCCATATTGAATGGATTTCCAGAAATATTTTCTTTTAACACGATTTGCTATACAAGCTAGGTCTCTTTGCTGTTATATGATTTTATCAGTCGGGTCAATTTCTGAGTTTGTGTTTACACTTACAGGTAAAAGATAAGTAAATAAATAAATCATCATGGAAGGGCTTGGTGCTAGTACCTCAACCAAGGATTTTCTGACGGAGCTAGTTAAGGCTCTCAAATGATCGCGCACAGCACCTGAACAAGTAGATTTACCAATTTTCAGACCAGATTTGAGCGATGCAAAAAAAAATGGCTGGCCGAGGTAGAAAGTATAAAAAGTGAATTTGAATGGTCTGACCAACAGACTATCGTGAGGTTGGGTCGATTTTTAACGGGAATATCTAAAACGTGGTTTGAAAACTGGGCACCAGATGTAAAAAACTGGGACACTTTTGTACGTGACTTTTTGGAGGCGTTTCCACCAAAAAAAATTTTGGGTGAATTACTTCTGAAAGCGGCTCAATTCAATAGTCACAACTGCAATACGTACGAGGCGTACGTCTTTGAGAAAGTTACTCTGCTTCGAAACCTACGGGCACACTGGGACGAGACAGATCTTGTTGAGATAATCATCCACGGAATTATGGAACGTGACGTGCGTGTCACTGCCGGCAATCAGAATCATAAAAAAATATCCGATCTCATTTCTTATTTAGGATCAGTGCCGAAATGTC